TACACTGTCTTTCTGTTCTCCTATGACTGATCTCTCCAAGGAGTTGCTCACAAGCTTTTAAGATCCCAGTCTCTACTCACCAAAGTAGGAGGTGGAACAGTGTTTTGTGTAGTATGTTATGCCAGTTGAACTTGATGTCCCCTGCCATCATGGTCCTGAGCCCACAGGTCCACCTACTCACTCCCTCTGTGTAGCTGGCTGTGGTCAAGAAGTGACTACAACTTTGTCCCTTGTCAGCTCCACTGTATACCTGGGAATTCTTACAGAACATACAAATACACTTGTAGAAACATTGTCTGCCGACCCTGTACATGGTCATGGGTGCACTGACCCCTGCATATACATACTTAATTGTTCAGCCTGTCCACCCATCTATCCACCTGTAGATCAGTGTTTGCCTTCACTGACAACACAGTTGTTTCTATCCATTTTGAGTTGTGTTCCATCAGCAGATGGAGGTCCTGAAAGCTTTACTCCATCTATCTCATTAAGGTTGACTACTTTGGAAAGAGGAGCTCTGGTAGCATAGTGGCTAAAGCACTTGACTGCTAACCAGAAGGCTGGCGGTTCAAACCCACCAGCCACTCCTCAGAAGGAAGGTTGGGCAGTCCTACTTCCGTAGTGATACTGCCTCGGAAACCCAAGGAGGGGTCGCTATGAGTCAGGGCCGACTCGACGGCACGTAACAACAACACCACCCCCACTTTGGAAAGGCAGCTCTTCCTCAGTCTTATTTTGAGTGCCTTCCAAACTGAGGGGCTCATCTTCCTGCACTGTATGAGATAATGTTTCAGGGCAGTTCATGAAGTTTTTCAGTAATATTTCCAACAGTGTTGCAGTACTCTTCATGAGGTTTTCACTGGTAAAGTTTTTCAGAAGTGGATGGCCACATCCTTCTTCCTAGTCTGTCTTAATCTGGAAGCTCCTCTGAAACCTTTCCACTATGGTAACCCTGCAGGTATTTGAAATACTGATGGCATAGCCTCTAGACTCACAGCAACACACAAGCCACCACAGTGCAACAAACTGAGACAAGTAGTGGTTGATGGATATTTGGGTTTATACCTTTTGGCTATTGTGAAGAATACTGTAATAAACATTAGTGCAAGTATCTTTTTGAGTCCCTGCTTTCATTTCTTTTGTATATGTACCTAGGAATATAATCGCTGGGTCGTGTGGTAATTCTGTGTTTAACTTTCTGAGGAACTGCCAAACTGTTGGCAACAGCAGCTGTACCATTTTACTTTTCCCCCAGTAATGTGTGAGGGTACCAGTTTCACCACATCTTTGCCAACACTTGTTATTTTCTCTTCTTGTTTGTTTGTTTTTAATAATACCCGTCTTAGTGGATGTATAGTGATATTGTGGCTTTGATTTTTATTTCTCTCCAAACTGATGACTTAGAGCATCTTTTCATTCATTTACTGGCCACTTGTATATCTTGCTGTTCTTTGAATAATACCAGTATGTTGTCCCATAGGGCCTTTTTACTTCTGTTTATTTCTGCTAAGAATACTTTCTCTTAGATACTTATATAGTTTATTTCTGACTTAAATCTGATGGATGCTGTCTTCCTCAGAGAAGCTTTCTTTGCCTTCTATCCAAAGTAATACTCAGTCCTTTTCTTTTTCTTCATAGTACTTATTACCTCTTGACACTGTTTATTTGTTTAGCCCAATAGAATAATGGAAAGGGTAAGCTTTGTCTGTTTTGTTCACTGCTGTGCTTGATCTCATCTGACTGGCAGAACCTTAACCCTGAAGGAATTCAGGGTTTTTTTCTAATTTTCTGGATGCTAATAAAATAAATTACACACCTCTCTAGATAAATGGCATTGCCAAATAATATATAGTTTTTACTTCCATCGGCCTGTAATAGAATACCACCTGCCCTGCCTGTCTTCATGTGTCTCATCACTGTCTACCCATTTACCTAAGCCTGAATACTGAGAGGTATCCCTAACTCTCCCTAACTATCCCTTTTTCTTTTTCCAGCTTCCATATACTGCCAAACATTCTTTCTTAACACTTTGCCAGTAAGTACCAAGTTTTCAAAGAAGTTCATATGCTGTGACCTAAACATTTTTTTTTTTTCTAGAAATCTTTGGGGTTAGGGAGAAGACAGTAGTCATGTTTCACTTAGAAGTATGAAATTATATTTGAAATGAGATAATTAAATTTTGACATAGCCTTAAGATTATGCAACCATTAAAAATAATGCTTTGAAAAGTATTTAATAATATGAAAAAAACTAGTCAAGATATATTGAGACAGATTAGTAGAATAGAATGCAAAGTTCAGTATAAAATCAAAATGCATAATTGAATCTAGCATATATGATAATAACTACTTCAAAATGGTGAGAAAAAGATGGACTATATAAGAAAGAAATGATGTTAAAGCAACTGGTTAGCCTTTAGAATGATAGATGACAAATAACGTTCTATGTAAATCTTACACCTAAGTGTCAAAATAAGCTCAAACGTTTCATAAAGGTCAATGTAAGAAAATGAAACAAAGAACCCTCAGATTCAGGGAAGATACAGTTATTATGCTAAATCTATTAAAAAAAATTGATGAAATTTTCTGCATAAGGAAAACAACAACAAAAACTTGATGACGTTAAAAACACCATAAAGTTAAGAGAGAAAGGGAAAATATTTACAGACCATTTACAGGCAAAGGACTCAATTCAGTAATATATAAAGACTTTATGGAAATTAGCAATAAAAAGACAACCTAATAGAAAAATTGGGAAAGATATGAGCAAACAGATAACAGAAAAGGACATACAAATAAATGGCCTAAAAACATGGGGAATTTTTTTCACTAATACATAAGAGAAATACAAATTAAAACTATACTGAGATGCAAATTTTCAGATTTACAGAATTTGAAAGTTTAATGTCATCTTGAAATATCTCAGCTAGATGTATATAGATACTATTGATGATAGGAGTATCGATTGGTTCAACCTCTATAGAGAGCAATTTGGTAATAGCTATCAAAATTATAAATGTACTCTGAACTAGTACTTTGACTTTTAGAAACACTTACCATAAATGTACATATGCAATGATGAGCACAAGATTGTTAATTCCAGGACAAATTATAAGCAGCCTTAGTGTTCATCACTAGGGGAATATTTGAGGAAATTGTGGTACCTTCATATCTTAGAATGTTAAGTAGCTGCACAAGAGAATGAGGAACCTCTTTATGTTTCACACAGAAAGATCTCTAAGGTTTGTTGTTAAATAAAAAAGCCAGGTTTAGAACCATGTATGTAGTGTGCGCTATATAGGTTTAAAAGGGCTGGGAAAAGTCATATTTGCAAGTATATGCATTAAAAAAAAGTCTCTGGAAGGATACATAAAGTGTTAGCGAGGTGTGTATGTGTGTGTGTGTGTGTGTATACACACACACACATACACACACACATGTTCAAGGAGCTCTGGTAGCATAGTGCCTAAGGCATTTGACTGCTAACCAGAAGGCTGGGCAATCTACTTCCATAGTGATACTGCTTCGGAAACCCAAGGAGGGGTCGCTATGAGTTGGGTTTGACTCAACGGCAGTGAGTTTGGTTTGGTTTAGTATTTATATGTTCATGTGTGCATACATGGAAGGAACTAAGGGGGTCACAGTTAGGCATAGTAGTTGCTTTTATGCAAATTAGAAAAGGGTGCTGCTTCTTTAAGAACCTCTACTTCTGTTAAACAATTACAATGTACTGATTTTGTTAGCACAAATAGTTGACAGCCATTCACTGGAAAATTTTAATACAACGTAATATTGAAGGATTTATTTTTTGAAAATTCTAGACTAAGCTTTATATTATATTAAGTTTATTCCTTAGGAAATCTAACTTAACCTTAAGTTCATTTATAATTTTCTGATAATAATAGTTACATATTAGTGTTAAAAATATTGATTTTGTTAAGATCATTCTGTAGTTTATTTCAGGTAAAATTTTAATTACTTTTTAGAAAGGTGATATAACCTGATAGGTGTACTTCTTGGTATGTTTTTGTATTTTGAATGATGTCATTCTAAAATGTTTAATTATTAAAAATACAAGGTTAAGTGAAAAAGTAAAATATAAAACTACACATTCAAATAAGCATCCTTTTGCTTAAAATTTACATATATGTCTGGTAGCGTAGTGCCTAAGGCACTTGACTGCTAACCAAAAGGCTGGCAGTTCACACCCACCAGCCACTCCTTGGAAGGAAGATGAGGCAATCTACTTCCATTGTGATACTGCTTCAGAAACCCAAAGAGGGGTTGCTATGAGTCGGGTCCGACTCGAGGGCACATAACAACAATAACATATATATCACACACACATAAATATTTACTTGGGCAATCCTACTTCCGTAGTGATACTGCCTTGGAAACCCAAGGAGGGGTCGCTATGAGTCAGGGCTGACTCCACGGCACATAACAACAACAACAACATCTATGTATATGCATTATACTTACATACAATATGTATACTTATTAATATGACCTACTTACGTTTATGTAGTAAAATAATACATGTTTATATGCATGTGTATATATATATATATATATATATATATATATATATGTCAGAAAACTGGAAGAATTAGAACAAATTGTAGTTACTTAACGAGCTCTGGTGGCATAGTGCCTAAGGCATTTGACTGCTAATCAGAAGTCTGGCGGTTCAAATCCACCAGCCACTCCTCGGAAGGAAGGTAGGGCAATTTAATTCTGTAGTGATACCACCTCGGAAACCCTGGGAGGAGTCGCTATGAGTCGAAATGCACTCGCCAGCAGCGAGTTTGGTTTTTGTTTTTGTAGTTACTTAGTGGTAGGATTTCCAATGATTAAAAAGTATTTTCTTTTTATACTTTTGTATTGTCCCACTTTTTGCAGCAATTAAATATTATATTGCATTGATAATAATAAGTGTTTAAATGTTATTGGGGGTTTTTAAAAATTTTTACTGAAGCTATTTTTTTCCTTCATGAAAAGAGTTTTTCAGCTTATATCCTTAATGGATACCGGATTGCCTCAGTGTTCTAATGAGAAAATAGAGCTTGCAATTCTGTGGTTCTTGGATCAGTTTCGTAAAACATACGTTGGTGATCAACTTCAAAGAACCTCAAAGGTAGGTTTTTACTAGAGATTAAAAAAAAAAAAAGTAAATGTTATTGGAGATAAAGAAAAATGTGCACATGTAACAGCGTTAAGCCAAATGATATATTTCAGAAATTTCTACCTGAGAAATTCAGTTTGATCAGTTGAAATTGGTTGATGGATTGGTATTGAAGGTGATACAAAGTTAATTTGCTTGTTTTATGCCTAGATTTACCATTTTCTTTAAAGGCTGATTGAGAGAAAGATAGTGAACATTTTAAAAATGACTAGCCATTAAATAATTAAAATTATTTTAAACACCTTAATGGATTTTTGACTTATTGACAGCAGTGATTTTGGTTTGGTTTTGATTCTATTTTAAGGCTGAGAACATAAGAGTTACTTTTTTAATTGTCCCGGGTTTGTTTGTTTGGATATTTATTTATGTGGTTTTCAGTATATTTTGCTCATTACTTGGCATTTTTACATAATAGTGAGGAGAAGAAGAATTAGATGTGTCCTTCAGAACCTGAAGTTAAATCACCTTAATTTAGGGGATATTCACAGTATGATAATTGAAGGTACAGCATCAGCAAGTTTAGATTAATTGATTTTGGACTAATGAGGTTTTATTAAGGGCATTTATGTGAACCATAAGCAAATACGTAGTAGTACTTGTGACACTGAGTAAGAACTATTTAAAAAAAAAAAAAAAATTCACTGCTGTCGAGTCGGATCTGACTCATAGCGACCCCTCTTTGGGTTTCTGAGGCAGTATCACTACGAAAGTAGGTTGCCCCATCTTCCTTCTGAGAGTGGCCGGTGGGTTTGAACCGCCTGCCTACTGGTTAGCAGTCAAATGCTTAGGCACAACACCACCAGAGCTCCTAAGTAAGAACTAGAAGAGACTATTCCTCTTCTTAGAATAGTAAATGTTTCCAAATCCTTCTCTGATGACTAGTCCTAAAGACAATCTTACTTTCTTTAGATTTATAGTTTATCACTAATGGTGAAAGATTTCTTATCTGAAAAGTCTAGATTAAGAATTGAGCTTTTTATCTAGGAAATTTAGCTTAACTTTTAGTTCCTTTATGACTTTCTGATAATAATAGTTGTACACTAGTGTCAAAAAAAATTGTTTTTTTTGGTTTTGTTAAGACCATCATTTATTTATAGGTAAAATTTTCTTCACTCTTTAAGAAAGTAGTATAGCTTTCTGCTTCCTTTGTCAAACATGTTGTGATATTTAATTGCCATTTAGGATTAACATCAGTAAAATTTTCTTAGAATTTAGCTTTCATTGAATAAGAACATTTGGAGGGAAAAGGCATAGTTAGAAATAAATATTTTAGTTGTCAGTAAGACATTAGAACCAGACAGTAATTACATGGTATAAAATTTATACATGATACCTCTCTTTAAATCCCAACTGTATTACTCAAAAGTTGAGTATAAATGAATTATGATAAATTGTCTTGTTAAAATGTACCCAGAGCATTTATTATTTTGCTTTTGCAGAAGTAGGTAACATTATTAATCCGATACACGTTTGGTCTGGATCTTAAAGCAGAGTGGTATAATATATTTAAAAAAAAAAAAAAAAAGCCTCAAATTACTGTGTTTAAAATACTTGGAAACAGGTATGTAAAAATGAGACTAGTTGTTCGGGAAATGGGATTTGGGAAATTATTTTTCAAAATATTTGTTCGAGATAAATATAACTTGTTTGGGATTTGTGAAAAAAGTGAATTATAGAAGATCAATTTTTTCTTTCTTAAAAACGCTTACATATTAGAAAACAATAAACCTATTGTCAGACTGTGGTTGATTGTTTTATTATAATTTTGATTTTTTTGATACATATATTTACCCTATTTCAAAGGGAGTTTAGTCTTAAGATTACTGTATTTCTAAGATGTTCCTATCATCGCATAACACCAAAGTGAAGCTAAAATTTCCCATCGTTTTATTTCTCTGGCTTATCTGCTGACCATAGCACTGCCTTTATAGAAACCATTTTTTGGGGTATGGGGTGTAATATGTACCCTGGCACTTTGTAGGAACTCTTTACACTCTCTTTAGTCCTTAAAACAAGCCAGCAGAGTAGGTGCTCTCATTTTATATATAAAGGAACAGAGTCTCTAAGACATTTAGTAAGTAATCTGTTTTTCTGGTGATAAACTCAGAAGACTAGGTGGAAAATATTTTTTAGTGGCTGTATTGTTGAATTGGCAACTTGTGGCTAAAAAGAAGGTGTATTAGATAATAAAAAGCAAGTAAAGTTTTAGTAAGTGACTAAAGTTTAACAGTTTGTGAGCATTTATTTTGTACTAGAACTATATGAAAGACTAAACATTATCTCATTTAATTGGATCCTATAAAGCGTGATTTACAAGGTTCTTCCTAATCTCATTTTTGCTTCTGTTACTAGTGTCATGCCTCAGTGCTCCATACCTTGCACTCCGTGCTTTATATGTACTGAACTTTTTTCACATCCTTGGACAGTCTCTACTCTCTGTCAAGTCATGGTTTTTGAACAAATTGTTCCCTTGGCCCAGGACATTATTTTTGTAAATCCATTTTTCACGTCCTTACTCTCCCTTACTCTGCCTGCTGATTCCTACTTATCTTTGGCATTAGACATCCCATCTTTTACAACATCCTTCTTAACTCTCAGATTCTGGGAGAGTCCCTTTTCTGTCTGTTCTGTAGTAGTCTTATGCCTCCTATTTTAGCATTTATTACAATGTATTGTAATTATTTTTTAGCAAAATATGTATAAACTGTAATCTTGGTTAGGACATTTTCCTACATTGTTATCACCTCCACATGCTGACATATTCCTTTCTTTATATATCTAGTAGATAACTGTTGAATGTACCTGGGCCTAGGATCTAGGATTGGGCCTGGATTTCATAATACTTTCAAAAAATGAAGAGTATGCTCTTGAGTTTGAAAATGATGTTAGCTTGAATGAAATTGTTTAGAAATTTTAAATAAAGTATAAGATTAAGCATCTTGCGGGGGAAAAGCCTATATCCACAGCAAAATATAATTTATAAAAATAAGTGCTCATCAGGATACTATGAAGAACAGTACTCCAACAAATTTGAAAATCTAGAAGAATAGAACAGATTTCTAGAAACACACTAATTACCTAGATTAACACAGACTGAAGGGGAAAAGTTGAATAGACCCATAACAAAAGAAGAAATTGAACAGGTCATAAAAAAATCACCACCACCACCAACAACAACAAAAAAGCCCTGGCCCAGATGGTTTCACTGAAGAATTCTGTCAAACATTAAGAACTGACACCAATCCTACTTAAACTATTCCAGAACATAGTAAAGACAGAATCCCCCCAAATTCATTTTATGAAGCAAGCATAACCTTGATACAAAAACCAGACAAAGACATCACTAAGAAGGAAAGCTACAGACCAATATCCCTCGTGTATATAGATGCAAAAATCTTCAACAAAATCCTAGCTAATAGACTCCAGCAACATATCCAAAAAATGATACATTGTGACTCAAGTGGTTCATACTAGGTTTGCAAGGATGGTTCAGCATTAGAAAAACAATCAGTGTCAATAAAACAAAGGAAAAGAACCACATGATCATATCAATTGATGCAGAAAACACATTTGGTAAAATCCAACACCCTTTCCTGATAAAAATTCTCAGCAAAATAGGAATAGAAGGGACATTTCTCAACATCATAAAGGGCATATATGCAAAATCAGCAGCCAACATTATTCTTAATGAAGAGAGACTGAAACCACTCCCCTTTCAAAGAGGAACCAAACACGGATGCCTTCTATCATCACTTCTGTTCAACATTGTGTTGGAAGTCCAAGCCAGGGCCATAAGGCAAGAAAAGGAAATCAAAGGCATCCAGATTGGTAAGGAAGAAGTCAAACTATCCCTATTTGCTGATGATATGGTCCTATACATAGAAAACCCAAGAGACTCAGCAAGAAAACCCTGGAAATAATTGAGAGATTTAGCATAGTGGCAGGATACAAGATCAACGTACAAAAATCAGTTGGACTTCTTTACACTGGAAGAAAGAGGTTGCTGAAAAAGAAATAAGGAAATAAATGTTGTTTACAATAGCTACCAAAAAAATAAAGTACTTGGGAATAAATCTTACCAGGGACACAAAAGACCTGTACAAAGAAAACTACAAAGCAAGAAACCATAAGAGATCTACATAAATGGAAGGACATAACCATGCTCATGGATAGGAAGATTGAGCATTGTGAAAATGTCAATTCTATCCAAAGCAATCTATACATTCGATGCAATCCCAATTCAGATCCCATCAACATTCTTTGAGGATATGGAAAAGCCAATCACTAGCCAAGCTCACTGCTGTTGAGTCAGATCCAACTCATAGAGACCCCTTCTTGGGTTTCTGAGGCAGTATCTCTACGGAAGTAGACTGCCAGTCTTCCTTCTGAGGGGTGGCTGGTGTGTTTGAACCACCAGCCTTCTGGTTAGCAGTCAGATTCCTTAGCTACTATGCCACCAGAGCTCCTAATTTTATATGGAAAGGAAAGAGGCCTCGGATAAGCACAGCACTGTTGAAGAAGAAGAGCAAAGTAGGAGGTCTCACATTCCCAGATCTCAAAACCTGCTATACAGCCAGAGTAGTCAAAATACTCTGGTATTTGTACAATGACAGACACATAGACCAGTGGAATATAATTGAGAACCCAGAAAGAGATCCGTCTACCTATGGTCAGCTGATCTTTGACAAAGGGCGGACATCCATGAAATTGGGAGGAGATGGTGTCCTGGTTACCTAGTCCCTTTCTGACAAGAAATATACCACAAATGGGATGGCCTTAACAAACAGGAGTTTATTCTCTTACAATTTGGAGGCTTTAAGTCTGAGTTCAAAGTGCCATCCTCTAGAGGCTGGGTGAAAGCCCCTCAACCTTGGAGTTCAGCTCTGCCTCCTGCTCCCAGCCCACTGGAGCTAGAGGTGTTTCTTCACTTAGACAGCTGCTAGCTGCTGAGG